GATTTGTTGGAATCCACTTGAGAATCACTTAGCTGTGGGATTATGATTTCTGCTTCCTCTACGGAAATCTCAAAGAGCCAGTTCCACACCATGCCTTTTCTCATCTTTATGAAGATTTACATAATTTTGCTCAAAGTTGGATATCAGATAGAAGCAGTCTCAAACTACATGCATACGCTATCGATCAAATGCTTTCTCAGATTTTGACGGTTAAGCGAGGTAAAGATGTTATGTAAGATATTGATTGGTTCATTTATCATTGTTTCAGTGTACGCGTGAGTATAGCAACTTCGCACAGTTAAGATTAAGACTCGCTCTCTTTTTGGTTTTGAAATCGAAGCGATTCATGTTCACCGTACCATGCGTCACAACTGCTCAATGGATCTTGCTTTCTCAGTGCGGTGGTAGGTGATAACGTGAATGCATGAACAGCCAACAAGTGCTCGGCTACGAACGTGAACGTTCAGAGAAAGCTCCAGGTTTCACTAACTTTCTTCAATCATACCATTTTCACAATTTTTTTTTCAGACAACTCATTATGAACCATTCGCAGATGTTGCTGTAGCCTGTAGTTTCGTTCAAACCAATTAGAAACACTCCTTCCCTCGTGTCAATCGTACATAGCACGATAACCGGCAGTAAAGACGATTGATTGATTTTCTGTTTACGATGTTTACTTTCTTATTGAACACGCCATTGATTGGACGATGATGTTCAACTTCGTTATATCGACTTCTATGTTTCTACTATGAGAACTGAATTCTGTTCTTGTTCGAAGAGGTTTCCGCTGCGAGTAAGACAAGGAATATGAGGACTGACATCTGATAACTGCTCTGAATATTCTCTGTTTCGAACTGTTCGCTTGGTCGTTACCATCCCTCTCAGCTCAGTCAGTAGTGAGAAACAGCTTGTGGAGAGTTAAGAGATAAGTTGATACCAATACTTCTTTGATTCTATGGTTGTTCATTCCAGACATTTCTATCGTATGGAAGCGAATCGACGGACAGAGGAGTGTGAATAGGAGGAGAGAGTTTCCGCGGCTTTCTCTTCTCCTTTCTTTCTACCTTAGATGCCTGAACAACTTGTATTCCTCACTTTTACCCTGAGACTTCTGTCCTCTCTCTTGCTCGAGTTTCATGAAAGATGGACTTCTTGAAAGTTCAGTCTCCCTTTGGCCCAACCTTGGAACTGAGCTGCATGGTCGTTCCTCTGAATGGGATCGAGTTCGATGGACAATGGAAAGAATAGCTAATCTTAGTCAATGCAGAACTTCTTGTGAAGATACTCTCATAGTCGTACCTTTGGAAGATGTTCCTTATTGACTAAGACTGTTAGTGATGGATTAATCATTGTTGGAGGATCATTAGAAGACGGCTAGGAGAAGGCAGGAAGTACACGTTCGTTTCTAATGCTTTTCCATGTTATGTTGTTCATTGCCCTGTTGTAACTCTTTTCAATTTGAATAAACTTGTTCGAACAGAATTTCTTGTGTTATAGAGACTGGGAGTTGATAGGGGACTGGGAGGACTCGGAGTGGAGCAGGGGAGGAAGTCATGGACTCTGTTGTTTGGTGGCAGCTATTGATGGTGCATATATACCATAATTGGTGATAAAAGTGTGGCAGGATAGCCGAGTGGTATACATGGGGATCTCACAAGAACATGGTTGGTTCGATCTCTGAGGAAACTTCTACTGGCCCGAAGAAAGTAAGTCAGAAACGACCCCCTCCGGTCAGAGGAGGGGGTTAT